CACGTTAAAAAATAATTAAAATGGCCAACTAGCATGAAAAGAACACCTTGGTAGGTAATAGCAAACGTTGATTTGTTTCAATTACACGTTAAAAAATAATTAAAATGGCCAACTAGCATGAAAAAAAATTCTTTACGAAAATAATTTTGTAACAATTCACCAACAACTCTTAAGTCATTCGTAGTTATCGACTAGTTATATCAGCAATTACCTAAATAGGATAAATTATGCATGCAGTAAACATGTTACATTTACTGATTCTTGTAATTTCAGTTGGAACTTAGCATTAGTTACCAAATTTGTCATTTTTTTAAAAATCTTTTCAAGCTATATAATTTGAATCGATCTAATATTGTAACATGAACGTGCACAGGTGGGACAATAAAAGTTCAATGGTAACACCGGACGAAGATGTCTTTTACTTAGTAGCGTTCCTCAGGTCAGCATTGGATAAAGGCACTGAGACCCAAACTCTAGAATACTTAACTGATCAAAACCATCAAATCCTACGATTTTGTGATAAAGAAAAAATAAACATCAAACAATACCTTCCTCATTATACCTCGGAGCAAGAATGGATACGCCACTTTGGAGATAAGTGGGCACAATTTTCAAAAAGAAAAATGGAATTCGACCCCAAGTGTATTTTAGCAACTGGCCAAAGTATATTTGAGCCCTCTTTTAATCCTAATAATAAAGCTTCAAGGAGATAAAGATGGTATATAGTTAGTTGAGTTTGGTAATTTGAGATGGATGAAATATTTATTTGTAATTGTAATTGTCCTAAATGCTTCCTTAACACACTAACGTGAAACACATCATGAATTTGAGAATCAAATGGAAGAGCTAATTTATATACCATTGGACCCACTCTCTGAATATTGACCAAAAAATGTGGGGGCAAGCCTCATTGAAGCTCGAAATACGATAGAAGTCTATCGATATAGCTGAAGCTTAAGATAAACGTAGTCGCCCTCTGCAAATGAGACTTCCTGTCGTCTCTGATCGACTTGACATTTCATTCGATCATGGGCTACTCATCAACTGCTTGGACTCTGGAAGTGCCTGGAATATAAGTTAGTAAACTTGGGGGAGGAATACCGTAAATAGCCTCAAAGGGTGTCATTTTGGTGGAGGACTGGTCAGCATTATGGCTAAACTCAGCCCAGGGATTCCATTCGAGCCATTTTCGTGGCTGGTCACTTGCAAAACATCGCAAGTATTGCTCCAAGGTGCAATTCACTACCTCTGTTTGGCCATCAGACTGGGTGGTAGCTTGAACTCATACACAACTTAGTTCCCTGTAAACACTGCTTGCCAAAAGAACTGATAAATACCTTATCTCGGTCACTAAACTATGGATGTTGGAATTCCATGAAGACAAACCACATTGGCTACAAATGCCTTGGTGATCCCTCGATAAAATCCATTGACATATCTGTTCACATATGAGCAGGGACTAGCGAAGGTTGCAAAAGCCCAACTGGCTTCATATAATCGATTTTGTACCATTGACAAATATCACATTGTTGTAAAAATTCCTTAACTGCCCGTTGCATATTAGGCCACAAGAAGCTGGGCTTAATTCGAGACAGAGTTTTATGGAACCCGAAATGTCCTCTAGTAGGTGTTGAGTCGCAATCTTGAATTATTTGTTGAATCATGGTTGAAGTAGGATTCGAGCAAACCTAGTCATTTTTTAACCACACACCATCTCTCTATCAGTTGGTGGGATGACTATGCTTGGAGCAAATTCTCATAAAAGGGATCATGTAGCACTTTCTCTTGTAATATTGGCCACCAATCTGCATTAGGCTCTGAAATGGATAGGAACTGAAATTCAACCACACAGGACAAGGAATCAGTAGCCTGACTTTTGGGTCCTCGCATATACCAAACTTCATAATCGTACCTAAGTGTAGCGAAAATTGATCTTTGATTCGTGGGATCTGGGCTCAGTTCAACTTACCAATATCAAACCACAATCAATTAACTCCAACCCACAACTACTCCTCTCACTTTGGTTGCCACTTCTAATATACCCGCAAGGAACACAAGTATGGTGGTGTTTGCAAAAGACCACAAAGGCAGAGAGAAGGCAAATGCAAGAAGAAGGAGGCGGGAAGTAGCCATAATTTCTCTCTAATAGATTCACAAAGCACACATAAGTTTCCAACACTATGAAAGTGAGTACATATAGGTTAATTTAGGTTACCAAGACTTGGGCCGATATGGGTCAACACTAAGATAATTGGGTCAGCACATTAAAAGAAGGGAAGATTATCTATTCAAGAGA